TATAGAGGTAAAAAGTAATAATAAGTTTACTTATATTATAAATAAAGATATTCATACCTAGATAGATAATATTTTAAGTATCTAAACTATGTATCTGTTGCTGCAAATACAATTTTATACTCCATTATATTTATTTGGGCACTAATTAGTCTTTTTTTGCTTAGTACGTAGCTATAGGAAGCTATAGTATATAGTTTACACTATTTATATAATATAGGTACTATAGTTCTATATATAAACTAGTTATATAGGAGTTAGTATTTTAGTTTTAGATATTTATTTTTAGATCTTATATCTTCTTTTATAGAAAAATATTTCTATACTTATAGATATTTATTCATAATTAATTTCCTTTACTTATTTTTTTTGCTCTATTACTAGCTTATTTGCTATTACTACCTCTACCTTTTACTTTTACCTTCTTTAATATTAACTGCTTCTCTTTTATATACTTTATATAGCGCTCTATATAGTATTACTAGTACTATATTATAGTAATTAATCCTTACCTTTATATCTTCTACCTTATTATTATCCCTTTTTACTTACTTAATTACCCTCTTTTTATATCTCTAAAGCAGTTTTATTATCCTTTTTTATTTTCTTAACTACCCTCTCTTAATATCTCTAAAATAGTGTTTTCTTTGCTTCTATATCTTCTATCTTATTTAAAAACTATACTCTGTATTATTCTACTTATTATACTATAGAAGCTACTACTATAAATATCTTCTATTAGCTCCTTTTAGATATTAATTGCTTACTTTACTATATTATAAGATATATTAACTATAATATATATAGTACTAATCCCTTCCTACTAACTATTATAGCTTTATTTATTTTTATTAAGTTATTTATTATTCTTATTTTTAGGTCCCTTTAAGCCTCTATTATTATAACTACTCTTATCTCTTAGAGGATATTTAGCAAAGATATATATATAGGGTATATTATTATCTTCTACTACTAGCCTTTATCATTTTAAAGTATTTTTTTCTTTTATATACTTTCTATTATATTAAGTCTCCCTATTTAATTATATATTTTTGTCTACTACTATAGGTTATTTTATAAGCTTTATTATTATTAATTATTACTATACTTCCTATAATATACCTCTTCTTAGAGTATAGAAAATTCTATTCTATATATAATAATACCTAGTAGTAGTAGTAGGCTACTTAAAATTATATTAATTATTAATCTTTTATCCTTATCTTAGGGGGATTTATAGTATTCTAACTATTATACTACTTAACTATTATACTACTTACTATTTAGATACTTAAAAGGATTATAGTTATCTTTTTCTAGCTTACTAATATTATTCCTAATATAATAGCTATTATATAGCCTATTATAATCTTTATTTTAATAACTCTATACCTCTTATTAAATAATATAATAACTATAATAAGGAACTCCTTTAAAATAAGTATTTTACCTACTATTACTCCTATTATATTAAGTACAACTACTAGGTATAAATAATAATATATAATATTATCCCTTATATAATACTCTCTATTCTATAGAAGGTTAGGGTTACTTTTACTAGTAAGCTAAATAAGTATTAGTTTATTATATATTATAATAATAGGTTAATAATTAAAAATTAATAATAAATCTTAATTTAAGCCTAAAAGTCTCTTTTATAATTTATTTATCTCCTAGATATCCCTAATAAGAAGTTTCTATAAGTATATTTATTAGATTAATTTATTACTTACCTATATATCTATTGGTTATTAAAAGGATAACTAAATTAATAGTAGAATACTTATTTATTTTAATTTTAGGGTACTATCTACTATTTATAAGGTCTTTTAAATAGTAATATCCTAGCCTATATATAATTATACTTTCTTAACCCTAATAAGGCCTTTTAAGTTTAGATTTAGAATTACTCTTCCTTTTAATATATAGTCTTTAATTAGGATCTTAATCTCTTCTTATATAAATAAAATCCTTACTATTAAATATTTTTCTAAGTATATAATATCTTATAGTAATATTAGAATTTATATTATTTATAATTAACCCCTTAGTTATATCTTATATTCAATCCTATTAATAATTAAACTTATAACCTATCTTTTAAGATAAGAAATTTTTAGCTAGTAACCTTTATTCCTAAAATTCTTAGTAAATAAAGATAATTAGGTTATTATAATATCTAACTTTATTTATATTAGGCCCTGTATTAATTAGTATAATTAAATAGTCTAATAGATAATATTTATACTATTATATTAATAGAGGATTTAAATAATATTTAATAATATAGTAGCTATTATCTAATATATTTATTATTAATACCTACTATACCTACCTTTATATTATATACTTTACTATATAATAAGAGGTATTAGCTTTTAATAAAATATAGCCCTAGTAGTCTTACATAATATAGAGAACCTTAGCTATATACTTTAATTATTATTTAGGCCTTCTATTATTAGCTTTTTTACATATAAAAAAACTCTATTAATATTCTATATTATAGTATAGGGCTTCCCTTTTTTAATAGTTTATTATAAATATTTAGCTATCTATTAAGATAGGCTAGTTAGAGTACTTCTAATTTAATTATAGCTATATTTATACTAAACTTTATTAAGACCTTTAATTATAACTATAGGATTTTAAGGATCTTAATATTATTAATTATATTATCCTCCTATTATCTTTTATTAAAAGGATTTATTATATGTAATAATACTAGTAAGATTCTATAATAATTATATACTATTTTAAAAAGCTAACCTTTTTTATTATATTTATTATAATCTTTATTAGCTTAAGATTAAGGCTAAGTTACTAATAGATAATAATGGTATTTTTATATAAACTTTATAAGAGTATCTTAATTATCTATATTTTTGATAATCCTAAAATAAACTACATTTTAAATAAAATATTATTAATAAATTATATATTATTAAAAAATAGTTATCAAATAATTATTATTTATAATTATATTTAAAAATAAATTATTTAATTAAATAAATTTTAAGAATAAAGTTATTTAAAAATTATCCCCTTTATTATAATCTTATAATAATTATAATTATTTATATCTATACTTATTTAGGTTATTTTAGTACTTTTTATAGGGGTTATATGAGTTTTAGGTTCTAAGTATTCTTTATTTATATTAATATTACTAGAGGCTACTAATACCGTTATAATAGCTTTATATTATAACTTTTATAAATATTTTTAAAAATATTATATTAAAATTAAAAGCTTTATACTACTAATATTCTTATATAAAAACTTAAAAGAATTATATAAGAGATTTTATTATTTTATATATTTAAAATATTTTTAATAATTATTTATAAATAAATAATTAATATAATATTATTATTAAATACTAATTATTATTCAATAAAATTTTTTTTTAGTTTTTAATAAGAGTATATCAAATAAAATAAATATATTATTAATACTATAAATTAATTATGTATTAATATAGTACCTTATTAAAAGTTTTTACTATAATACTAAAACTGCCCCTTAATAAAAAATTAATATTTTTTTGACTAATATTTCTATAACTTTCTTAATTTATATATATAGTAAAGTATATTAAAATTTAATTATTATTAATAATATTTATAAATTCTATTGAGAAGATATAGATTACTATATAATATATTATTTAATATATATTTAAAAACTAAGGGTCTTATTATATAGAAAAGATAAGTTATTTTCTCATTATAATTTAATACAAATTTAAAAATATATAGTTTATAAACTTTATTAATATAATTTAAACTAATTTAGTTTATTATAGGTACTAATTAATTATTAAATAACCCTTTTTATTTATTTTTAAAATTTGGGTATATTTTAATATATATTAATTTAAATTTAATTCAATATTATTTTTATACTTATAATATTAAATATAAAAGTATTAATTAAAGCTTTTAATTTTTACTATTTTAATTAATTAAGTAATTTATTATAAAAACTTAAATATGAATATAGGCTTTTTTCTAGGTTCATTTAATTTATTTATAATTTACTATATAATCTTATGAAAAGTATTATAAAAGTTATAAATTAATATAAAACTATCCTTTTATATATTTATAATATAAATTTATATATATAAAGCTACTTAATAATATTTTAAATAAATTATTAAAAGCTTATTCTAAAATAATAAATTATATTTTAATAAAAATTGCCTAATAGTTAAAATAATATATATTTAATAATATTATTAATTAAAAAATAATATTAAATATTTTATATAATCTTATTAAAAATTAAATATTAAAAACATTTATATAATTATTTTAAAAGTTATAGGCAGTATATATATATTAAAAATTAAAAAATATTTTTAATAATTTTTCAATAATTAATAAATTTAAAATTATATTATAATTAAAATATAATAAATAATAAATATAATTAATAATAAAAATTATTTATTTTAAAAGTAAACTATCTTCTATAAAAAGTAGAATAAAAGTAAGCTTATAATTTATACGAGATGGTATACAGAGTGGTATGATGAGAAGGAAACATAAAAGGAAGAAGGATTCTGGTCATGCATCTAGTCTTTCTCTACTCGCGCTCAATTACCAAGCAGTTACTAAGATACTTACTTTGGGGGTCAGTAAGACTTCTTACTACTAGTGGTATACTTCAGTATAGCTCTAGTAGGCGTTGCCTCTGACCTAGTCGTTATTGTTCTCGTTTACCTGAAGTACCCCTACTTGTGTGTGTTCCTGCAAGATCTGTTATACTCGAGAAAGGTCGTTCGAGAAAGAGCCCTTCGCCAGTTAGGCCGTTGTCTCAGAGAGGAGACCCGGGTCAGTTCGATCGTCACGCACGCGTGAACGACATAGAGTCAGGAAGACTCCTTGATCCTTCCCTAACCACCATTGCTAAGTACCTTTCCCTGGGCATTTTCAAGAAATAGGTTCCAGCAACTGGACTTTGCTTCCTTGATTTCTTGAAAATATATATTTCTAGCCTCTATTATAGGCTTTATGATTTTCTGGGGTAGGAGACCTTTTCCAGAGTTTTCTAGCTTGGCCTAGTATCTTCCTAAGCTTTAGTAGCTTTTCTGACCACCATGCCTTTGACCAATGAGAAGCCTTCTTCCTAGGGATGCTATAATCAGCTGCTATTTGGATTATTTTTTGCAGCTTATAAGCTTCATTCTCTAGCCCTATTTCTAGGTCTTGGCTAGTCTGCTGGCCTAGACCATTTTGGGTATAGAGTCCCCACTTATAGTCAGGTGATTGGTCAAGCTCTAAGAGCTTTTTGCTGAATTTGGACCAATCAGCTTTCTCTAGGTTATATGGCATAGCATATAGGGGGTTTCCTACTAGGTCTGTATTATATTCCTGAAGAGAATATAATAAGACTTCATGGCCAGCCCCTGAGGCTATATTAGGGTCAATTTCCCACTGGGTTTGCCTCTGATTTAGTCTTTTAGTAATAAAGACTAGATCTATGATTGATTTATTGATCATACCTTCTCTATAGAAGGTTGGCAGGTCAGGTTCATTTAGAAGCTCAAATTCATACTTTTCTAGCCATGAGACTAAGGCTTGAGCTCTTTTTCTTTATTATCCTATTATACTCTGCTAAACCTTCTTATAGGCTTATAGGAGTTATAGTCTAGTTCTTAAGTCTTTGGACTAACCCCTATATACTTATAGCTATTAAATAATAAAATCTGTTTTATATAACTATTATATAACTAATCTAAAAAAAAAACTCTCGCGCTCCCAACACGCCCCCCCAATTTGGGGGTATTCGAACTCGATTTTGACACCAATTTGTTCTACTCATCAAACTTAATAACATACTCGATTTTTATTTCAAATTACCCCTTTGTTGTCGGTTGGGAAGACCCCAAAACCCCCTGTGAGCCGGCAAAGAAAATTTTTGTTTTCCCTCCCGCTACGGGAGCCCAGTCAAACCACCCGCGCAAGGGGTGGAAGCCGCGCCATAGACCTTCCA